TCCTAGCCTAGCCACGAATTTAGGGACTAAACCTAAGATTAGCTAATGATTTTTTATGCATTGTATCAGTGTAGAGAATTAAAATTGCTCGTATTTTGCACAATATATATTATAAGCATGCATCTCATTTTACCAGAATTTCATTGTAGTGGAAATGATGTTTTTTCACATAATAAATCTTCATTACATAAACATAGTTAGTATATTAGTAATTATTATTCAAAATTTGCATTTCCATTTTTGTTAATAGTTAAGTAATTTAGTTTGATTAAAATCTCAACATTCAAAATTAGTGACAATGATTTCGTTTGATTTTCTATAAATTTCCTATTAAAATTTATCATTGCTAACTTACACCTTCCCCGTGGGATCGATATTTGGGGCTTAAATAAAAAGTTCATTATTACTTGATAACGATACGTATACTTGCGTAGAATCTCATTATTAATTGCCTATAATTATATATATTTTACACAACTTACTTTTCATATAAGAATCAAGTTTTTGGCGCTGTAGTAGTGTCAATTTCATAAATCCTTACACATAAAAATTCGGGATCAGGTCTGTATTCATTGGATTATCAGCACTCGACCTAAGTTTAACCAAGCAAGATGATTCCTTTTTTTTTTTTATTCGAACTGTTTTGGGGGGCAGTTGATCGTTTATGGGTCTCGGCTTTGTTGGCTGATCTTGGCACCGCAATTGGCTACCTACACTTAGCGCTCAACTAGATGATCTCAGTGTCACGGCTGGCAGCTTTCATTAGTACTTACTCGGGTGTTACTGGAGCCGCGACTGACAGCTTTCATTTAGTGTCCATACGAGCGACCTTGGCACTGCGGCTTGCAATCTTCATCAAATGCTCAGCAGGGTGATCTTGGTGCCACAGTTGGTGGCCTACTTTTAATGCCCAGTCATGTGATCTTGGCGTCCTGACTGGCAGTCTTCTTTTAATGCTCAGTCAGGCAATATTGGTGTCACGGCTGACAATCTTGTTTTGATGGTCAACTAGGCAATCTTGGTGTCGCAACTGACATTCCTCTTTTGATGCTCAGTCGGGTGATTTTGGTTTCATAACTGACAGTCTTCTTTTGATGCTCAATCGGGCAACCTTGACTTCGCGGCTGGCAGTCTTCTTTTAATGCTCAGCCGAGCAATCTTGGGACAACAGCTAGCAATCTTCTTTTAATCCTCAGTCAGGCAATCTTGGCGCCACGACAGGTCTTCTTTTGATGCTCAGACGGGCGATCTTAGCGCTATCTTTTAATCCTCAGTCAGGCAATCTTGGCGCCACGGCAGGCAGTCTTCTTTTGATGCTCAGACGGGTGATCTTAGCACTGAGGCTGGCAGTCCTCTTTTCTCAAAACTCTCGATTTGCTTCCCTGTTTTTCCCCGATTCCCCGAGTGTCTTCCTATGCTGAAAGTTTTAGATCATATATTAGTTTGGCACACGTTTATTTTAGATGCATTTTTAGTAGGTTACTAAATGGGAAACTTGACATTGGTAACAAAGCAGAAAGTAAATTTAATCTAAAAATTTTTAGATGAAGAGTAAAAAAGGTGGGAGGAGGAAAAAATAAGAATAATCTTCATGGGATTATCTCAGAGATATGGACGACATTTGTTCGGTCGGGTCAAAGCGGGGCTCCTGTGCTGGCATCTTCCCTTGTCTTTGGCTCAAGTGCCTTGTGACCACGAACTCTTTCAGCTTTCCTATCTTGATTAACCCTTTGATAAGATTATGGAGCTATCAACATTCCTCCATGTCGTGGTCATGATCCCGATGGGATCTACAATATTTTCTTGTATCTCGGAGAAAACCTCTAGCTCTGAGCGGTGCACGCTCCTTAAAGTATTATTTTCCTTGGATGGCATCCACAATATTCGTCATTAACACCCTTAGAGGAGTAGCTTGCAAGCCTTCATGATCTATAAATGACTACTCGTAGCGTTGTGTTGGCCTTTCATAGTATCGGATCAGCCGAGGGTGTCGATGTCTCGCCTATCTGCTTTGCTTGTGGTACTGGCCGGTTCCTCTGTTGTTTCGGGAGGACCGGCCTTCTTCAAAACGGTATCGGATGGGTGACTGACCTGCGTTCCTCTCTTTTCTAGGTTGGGCTGCCTTCTGGCTCCCACCTGAGAGTGCTTTCCTCTGGTAGCATGTGCTTGTTGGCCCTCTCCAATAATTATGGCAAGACTTGGGGCTTGTTATTACTGAGGTCATAGAAAATCTCTCGGACCACAAGGCTTGCTTCAAGGAGGCTGCAGCCGAGTCGACTTCGAGCTCCTTTACCTCTAACATTTCCCATTACAAATGTGTGATGAATGTGCAAAGGCTCTCGTGTTCTCCTTGCTTGATTTGCCACAAGAGCTGGACGGTCTTCATTGGTCTTCGGACATTGGCGTACTAAGAACAACCTCTTGAAATCGAAACAACTGTTGATTGCTTCCTGCCAGAAGCCCATAGAACCACTTCAAGGATGAAGACCTCCTTGCATACGGCACTTAAATGCAGCTAAGATTTTGAGCAAGCATGCGGCCGACTCAAATACAGCAATGTGGTCGTTGGGGTCTAACAGTCCTTTGTAGGCTTCCAAGGCTGACAGCTTGAATTTTTTTCTGGGGGCTCTGATCCAGATATTTGGAGGGAGAAAATGTTCTTCGGTTGTCGTGGCACTTCAGTGTGCCCTGCTCGATGCCTTTCCATCTGTGCGAATCCCGCATTGTCCTGGTACTGGGAGTCACCGGCTTCCTCCAGACTGAAGCACCAGCGCCACCTCAGGTGGATTCTACTCTTGCGGGGCCCGAGCTTCTGCTAGGGCTGTGACGCATTGTCCTGGTACTGGGAGTCACCGGCTTCCTCCGGACTGAAGCAACAGCGCCACCTCAGGTGGATTCTACTCTTGCAGGGCCCGAGCTTCTGCTAGGGCTGCGATTGCCCTCATGACTTCGACAATCTGGCCCATAACTTGTTCCATGGTCTGGGCCATCATCTCCTTCATTCTCCTCTGCATGTGTTCCTCTATGTTGTCTCGTGGAGAATCTATATTAGCTACCACCCTTTGGTCACTCATTTTTCTCTAGGATCTCTATGCTCCCTTCTTTTCAAAGGCATGATTTCACACTCACTGCACATTTCAGGATGTTTAATCCAAATTTGTGTAGGAGACACGCCTAAGGAATAGAGCATCGAATATCGAAAAGAGGAATAACACAACGTTGACCTGTAAAATTGCGTAAATTTTATTTATAAAATGGAGCTCATATTTTTATGAATGGGTCATTATACAATTACATATTGTACTCCTAAGGTCCGTAGACACAGCGGGGGTCATTACGTGATTCGGCCCGTAGGGGTCGCAAAATATAACCGCCCAGCTTTTTGGTTGCACGACTACAGAGCCAAGAGGTTGTGCGACAAAATGGCCGCTAGGCCCACCAACTATTCGGCAGGAGCTCGAGCTCCTCCCCCAAAGCTTTGGGAACTATCGTTCTTTCCCATTATGTCTGAGTTGGCTAGTGGTGATCTCGTTCTATTGGATCTGATCAATTAGATCCTTCAAAAGTGATCCCCGTGCGATGATATAAAGATTTGACCGATTAAGCACGCATTCCCGGGATGTCCTTGGTAGAGCCTATTATCTCTCTTATCATCTTTGAGTCGTGATTCGTGCAAGCACTTTTTTTGATATACTGAACAAATGAGAACTTTCTTTTTTAATGATGAACAATAATTTCAAAAATAAAGAACTCAAGCATGACTTCAAATTTCCCGTAAGTAATGAGCCATTGATCATTCCACATTCATGACTGTCGAAATTACCCCAAACCAAGCGCTAGTTACAGCGCCAAGCAGAAAAGGCTCCTGCCAAGCATACTCATCAGTCATTTCTTATAATTTTCTGTTAGATGGCTCCTGCCAAGCATACTCATCAGTCATTTCTTATTTATCAAACAAAAAGTTCTCTGGGGATCTTTTGCTTAGTTTTTTTCTATAAACCTGTCACAATTTTCTGTTAGATAGCTCTAGTTAATTACAACTTTTTTAATGTTTTAAAAATTCTCAGTACATACAAGCTACTGTTTACAATCACAGTTGTTAGATTGTGGTCCTACTTATAAGAAAATTATAACTCTAATAATAGATGGATTAAAATACTAATATATTTTACACGAAGAGCACACAATTCTAATATATTTTTATATCTCACACCTAAACTTTCATATTTACACACACTGCACTCAAATTTTTATTGCAACCTTTTAAAAGTGAAACAATTATTTTCATACACAAGTTTAAAATACCAAAATACTGTGTATGTCAATATGGAAGTTTAGGTGTGAGATATGTAAAAGCATAGAATTGTGTGATAGGTATATAGAGCCCTTGAAACATTGCTATTTACAAATCAATCACCATCTATTACCATCCATTGATCAAATTCTCACTCAAATATCAAAATTAGTTATAAAATCCCAACCCATATCATTCAATTTTTTTTATCAAATTCTCAATTTTTTGCCCGTGGCATGAGTAAATACATCGATTCGGTAGTTCAAAATATCACCTGGGTGTTTGATTTGTAAATTTCAGTATTTTGGGTGCTCTATATGTAATTATCACCAAAGAAAATCTTATAACACCCACAACAATCTTAGAAAAAAAATCAAAACCCCTAAAAAGCAAGCCTTGCTAAAGCACATGTGAATTCAGCGCTACACTTGAATTTGAATTTAAAATCTTTCATTAGTATTTCAACTATAATTCAAATTCCACCGAATCATACAATAACTAATTTATCAATATCAAATCAGCACAATAAAGCGATGTTCTTTACCTTTTCAATGTATTTGAAGTTTAACAATAATAAGTAGAGTATATGCCACGAAAACTTGCCAGCTTGAGTTCAGCTTCATAGGTTAGTCCTTCTTCTTCCTAGCAATGTATGGATACTTCTGATATATGAAAATACTGCTCATTACAAGTGGCAAAGCAGCAAGACAATAAAGAGATGGCAATTTGCCATCTAAAAAATATTGCAGCAGAGCTGTAACTAAGAGTGCGGATACTATAACAAAACCCTGCAAAGTTGCAGAAATGAAATTATTAGAGCCAATGAGAGTAGAACTATTAAAAAAACTCGTCTTTCATGAATAGCTCATGTTTGGTTCGCTAAGTAGATCACGTTTGATCCATTCGTTAAGCAAACGAGCCAAACTGAAATAATATATTTGAGCTTGATTTATAAATGAGCCGACCATGAACAAACTTTTATTCAATTGTGTATTCGGCTCATTTTGACTCGAACTAATTAAATAATTGAATAAATATTACTGTTATAACATTTTTTTTTTTTGAATTGTATTTAAAAATATAAATAAATTTTATTATTTTTTAGAATATTCGAGCTAATTTTGAGCCGAACACGAGCTGAAACGAACAAACAAATTCAAATCAAGTCAAACACAAATATGTTATTCATGATTCACTTCAAACACGAGCCTATTTCGAGCCAAAAAAATTTTGAAGGAGCAAAACACGAATAAACACAGGGCTCGCTCAAGCTCAGCTCATTCACACCCTTAAATGAGAAGAAGAAGAAGCAGCAGCAGTGAAAAAAGCAAGAAAATTTAATTTACTTGCCTTGCGCACACCGCCAGCATGTGCCGTTACAAGGCCCACAAGGATTCCTCCTACAGCATTGAAGATAACTGGAACCTGCAGAAAATATTTTAGGAGATTTTGTTGGGAATTTAAACATTTAATTAACCAAATATCAATAGCAGCAGATGATGAATTAGCCATTAGATTGATAATTTGTTTCTAAATCTAATGTTCTGGTTCTTTTGGAGGAAAAATTTGGCATTTACATACAAGGCACCTAATTGCTATGTATGTAATATAAAAGTTTACGTATGAGAAATGTAAATGCATAAGAATGGTGTACTTCGTATGTAAATTTCCATTCCTTTAGTTGATTCATTATCATTGAGTTAGTAATAGGGGATTTTACAAAATTACCAACGTCCACGGTGTCCATCCATAAAAGAATCCATGTTTTTTTATAGCCACCCCATCTGGAGACTTGTACAAGCTTGCTAACAAGCATAGACTTCCAACAACTGACATTTCAATAGTCATCAAATATGACGTGTGTTTCTTTACCTGCGAAAGAAGATGCAAAAATGCTGTTAAGGAAAAAGCTGACCAGGAAATTTTTTTCCTCCAGCATGGATTTAAGCAAATATAACCTGTGAAGCCCATTGGCACAAAGAAGATGTCAACCCAGACAACACTGAAGCCACCATAACTGGAACTATTCCATAAAATAAAACTTGATCAGTGTTTCTCCCACCAGAACCTTTAGTAGATCCTTCTCCCACGCTTAGAAGAATAGCAGCAATCATTAGTAAGGTAAGGGCCCCGATTTGTCGAATGGATTGTTTTTGCCTGCAAACAAAATAGAAAAAAAAAAGAAAGAATTATCTACATACAACTCAATTCTAATGTATTTACATATCTAACACCTAAAATTCAATTTTTTCATACATATCACCTTATCTATGCATGGAAAGATGCATTTCCCTTAAAAAAAGTTCAAATAGTGGTATTTTTTATGTGATATGAAAGATTTGAGTGGCATAAATGTTAAAAACAAAGTTTAGGTGTTAGATATGTAAATAAGATTTGGGAGGTATGTATGTAAATGCCTCCAAAAAAAAGGAAAAAGGGTAACATGTACTAGCATTCATAGCTTTTTAAGGCAACTCTATTAGTTTTTTTCATGAAAACCTTACACATATGATGGAAGTAGCAATTCACTTCATCACTAACTAAGAAAGATGAATAATGTGCTTCTTAATGAAGATCACAATAATAAGTACTTCAACATATGCATGTGCTGTCGATGCTATAGGAGATTATACATATGGAAATATTAGTTACTCTGTTACACTACGATTTCTACCACTCTAGCCCAAATCAAATGGAAATATATCAACCGCAACAGGAGAAAATCTTAGATATCGTGTTGCCCGTACTTCATATTTCAGGAAATTACTCAAAAAAAAGAAAAAAGAAAACGATTTTGTTTGTACCGTAGGCACATCTTCGTACAATAATCGCAACCAACCAAAGGTATAATGAAAAACATTCATTCTGAGGTCCAATGGAAAGTATTATGCCTTGTTGGTCATGGTTAAGGCGCCATTTGTAAGAAAATCAGCAAATATACTACTAGGTTATTGACAGATTCCTAATTCAAGGTGACCGAAAATGATATGATGTTTCAAACTCCTTTACAGTAAGCCCAACAAACTCCCAGCACCGGAAACTTTATTATGTTTACCAATCTTCCTCCAAGCAGCATACTACACTGGTCAGTTTTCAGTTTTATATGAAGCACACATCCCTGTCCTCCATTGATGCGTCCTTGAACAATCCCGTTGGAAAAAAATGTGCAATGTTATGCGTATTAATTCATAAAAATAGCCTAGTACTCGTAACAAATCATTATAAAGCGTGCAATATGAGATTAGGAGTTACCCTAAAATGACAAAAGTAAAAATTGCAGTGAAGAACAATTTTGTCTGGTTGAGAATAGAGAAAGTCAGAGAATCCAGGTTCCTGTAAGAAATCTGCAAGAGGCTATTCTGCAATGCATATATAGCTGCTGGAAGGCCTGAGGCAGTCAGTGAGCCACTTAAAGTCCACTGACTGAATAACTTCTTGAAGCTACCTTGCTTTGCTAGGAGAATCAATGCACAAAAGACCTAACAAAAAAATAAATCACTGCACGTCAATTACAGCAGCATCAATAGTTTACAGAGATGAAAGACAACAAAACGATACGATTGAGCCACATGGATCAGTTTTTCATCACCTTTACTACCTCACATGCCAAAACAGCTGATGTAACAATAACTTCTTTCCTGCATTCATATTATTACATACTTGATGATATCAGTTGGCAGATCTGCAGTATCATAAAACTTGTTGAGGAAATTGTATTCTTCCAATTTCTCGTAAAGGTAACAATACCAATCAAGCACTTCTTCATGGAGACAGTAACATCATACACGATGATGATGGTTACCACAAACACTTCAAAACAATAAAATGATTCGGCATTTACATGCAGACCACTAAATTCCTATGTATTCGCATATCTAACACCTAAACTTCCATTTTTACATTAATACCACGTAAATCTTCAAATCATATCACAAATACCACTATTTTAACTTAAAAAAAGTGAAATGCACCTTTCCATGCATGGGTGTGGTGGCATGTCTGTAAAAATTGAAGTTTATCTGTTAGATAAATAAAAACGTGGGAATTGAGTAGTATGCATGTAAATCTTTCTAAAATGATTCAGGATTCCAAAATAATTTGATGTCAAATAAAATTGTTCTGCAGTTGATGTTTAATTTGATATGGATATCTGCTGACTTAGACAATGATTTTGATTAGAAACCAGTCTCCTCTATAGGTTTTTACCGGCCTAGGTTTAGGTTTAAGGCGGTTGATGGAAAAAATAAGTGTTATTGGGATCAAATTATGTAATTTACAGCACATATTCTCCATCCCTAAGCCGCTTATTATTACATGAATAACATAGGAATCATACCTCAAGAAAATGTCATGTTTTAAGGATATTCAAGCCTTTCTAAGGATGTATTCTAATTCTTTCTGACTCCACCTATTTTCCTACTTTACAATTGATATTTAAAACAGGTGATAGGAGAGTCAAGCTTTAAACATATTATAAGTTTGTAATGTTTTGATAAAACTAAGTAGACATTTTTATTGATCAGATAAAACCCAACTTGTTTAAAAGGTCCTAAAGATTCTCTGAAAATTGGAATGAGAGAAAGCATATGTGCCCACTTCACCAAACAAAGCACATGAGAGTATCATAAAACTCTGCATTTCAACTCCCTTAATTATAAGCCATTAACTTAAAAAAAAATTTATGTCAATACAGATATCTTCACAAAGAGGACTTGGTTTCGGCATGTCCCTGAACATAATACCCAAAAAAAGTACGCCAACATTCCCACCATTAAACAAACTGGCCATTGATCCAAATGATTACTTCATCCTGATGCATTTATGAAAAAATACATAACTCGAAAAAAAGCATTTCAAAACTTTCTTTAGACTCTAAATTTCAAAAAAGGTGCGCATACATCTCATTACAGGGAAGACATCTGAAATGAAACCTTAATTTTATGTTTAATTTCATTTAAAAGCGTCAAAAGCTTGTCATCGCTACAGATTGAACGTGATTGATTTGTAAAATTGCATAAAGAAACTCTAAAAATTTCATCTCCCTCAGAATAGAATGCTTATACACGCATTTTTGTATTTTTTTATGTTATGTTGAATTTACTTGGGGAGAGAACTTGCTTACTCTTTTATTCACAAATAGAGTACATACATACATACATACATACATATATATATATTATATGTATATCTATATATATATATATGTATATGTATATCTATATATATGTATATGTGTATCTATATATGTATATCTATATAAATATATGTATATGTATATCTATATATGTATATATATATATGTATATCTATATATATATATATGTATATGTATATCTATATATATATATATATATGTATGTATATATATATATATATGTATATATATATAGGGAAACCAATCCCTCCTTATTTACAAGCGTATCAAACATATCTCGCCTAAATTATGAAATGAAACAATTCTGAATAAAAATAAGAAAGGCATAAAATAGGAAGGGAATAAACCAATCAAAGGTTTCCTAAAATATCCCAATCAAATCCTCCAATATTTGAAGGTAATTGCCGACCCACATGAGAAGAAAATACGAAAAGGACCAAATTTTCTCAGATTTTCACACTCCTCAGGCTAGACCATAGATGTCATAGAGACCGAGCTTGATATTGAATTTTGAGAAGGTGCTGAAAGGAAAAGCTTTGGTGAAGACATCAGCAACTTGTTGGCGTGTTGGGATGTAGTTTAGTTGTATGACTTCCCCATCAAGTGTCTATCAACTTCAATATGTTTAGTCCTGTCATGATGCACAAGATTTATGGCTATATGATAGTTGTTTAACTATCAGAGAACATCTATGTAGGTCCATTGGAAGAACATCTCAGTTCCGTTAACAAGTTCTGAATCCAAATTCCTTCACAGATCCCAAAGGTAATTGCCTTATACTCTGCTTCTGAAAACAACAGCTTGTTTCTTATAACCAAATTTCCCCATAAATAAGAACAATAACCTATGATGGACCTTCTGTTAGTGAGTTCCCCCACCCAACTAGCATCAGTGTAGACTTTCACTTCTTTATTTCTGATTTTTTCAAAAATTAATCCATAACTAGGAGTCTTCTTGAAAAATCTCAAAATCTTGTAAAACCTATCTAAATACTCATCATTTAGGCAATTCATGTATTGGCTCACAACATCGACAAAATATGCAATATTTGGTCTAGCATATGACAGATAGATTAGTTTTTGATATCTTCCCTTATCCACATATATATTTCCTTCTTCCATATTAGACCTATTCCAATGGAGTATCAACAGGTTTGCATCAAAGCATCCATGTTTCTTTTAACAAATCTAAAATATATTTCTTCTGTGATATAATAATACATTTTTTGGACCTTACTATCTCCATACCTAGAAAATATCTCATATTTCCTACGTCCTTGATTTCAAACTCAGCGGCCAGCAGTTTTTTTTATTTTAAAAATTTCTCTTTCTTTATCATCAGTAAGCTTATATCATCTACATATATGATTAGTTCAACAATCTATCTCCTTGAATGTGTTTTATGAATAATGTGTGATTAGACTGACTTTGAGAGTATCCATTGGATTTCATAGTTTTAGCAAACCTTACAAACCCCGCCCTTGATGATTGTTTAAGCTTATAGAGAGACTTTACGAGTTTGAATACAATGTTGGAATCATTCTCAAATCTTGTTAGTATCTACATGTATGCTTCTTCTTCCAGATCCCCGTTTAGGAAAGCATTTTTATGTCAAGTTGACGCCCTCCCCATTCGTTATTAACTGTTACGGAAAGAGCTTTGATAATTAATATTCAAATTGGCAACTAGTGCGAATGTCTCCTGAGAGTCAGTTTCATAAGCTTGTGTGAAACCTTTAGCAACAAATATGGCTTTGAATCTCTCGACATTCTCATCAACTTTGTATTTTATGTGAATACCCATTTGCAACCAACTGGCTTCTTATCCTGCGGAAGTTTAGTAAGAATCAATGTATCATTATGCTTTAATGCTCGAATTTCTTCTTCCACTTTTTCCTCTATTCTTGATTTTCAAGAGATTTCTAAATGGATTTAGGAATATGTGCATTATCATGGTTAGATATTAATGCTTTATGGGCTGATGAAAGCGTTTCATAAGCTACATACTCCTGAATTATGTTTCTCATGCAACTTTATGTCATCAGCACCAAAAGATAATGAAATAACTCATGAGTACTAGACTTCTCACCAAAACTTTCAGGTGAATATGGACTTCGGTTTTGGTTGGAGCGGTTTGTCTTTGCAAGTTGTCTTCCACCTGCTCAAGGTTTTTTCCTCTTAGTGTACACACAAAGCTCTTTGTTGTGGACTTCAAGTTGAGTCGTTTCGATATTCTCAACATGAGTAGGAGAGTCAACTGGAAGAGTAGTGGGTTTGTTGTGTAGGTGTCATCAAGTGCATTGCAATTGATGTTCATTTGCCCTCTCCTCCTGATATCACATTCGAGAATATAGGATTGATTTTCAAAACATGGGACATTCATAGAGTTGTAGTATTGTCTGGTAACAAAAGAGTAACAGTTATATATATTTTTTATTCGAGGCATACCCAAGAAAATACACTTGATATGTTTATGGTCAACATTAGTGCGGGTTGATAAATGAATGTGAACAAAGAATACAAACCCAAAGTTTTTAAGTGGTCAAGTAGGAGAAAAAACTCTAATACGTGGACAGATAACCATCAAAACATGAAATGGTGGTTTGAAGTTAAATATCAAGTTAGGCATTCGATCCATAAAATATGTTACATTAAAAACTGCTTCCCCTCCAAAAAAAATATTTTGGAACTTGATAAGAAATCATAGTTAAGAGGGATACCTCAAGTAAATGTTTGTTCTTTCTCTATGTTATTATATTATGTTGTGAGGTATCAATAGATGAACTCATATGAATGATTCTATCTTTTGAAAGATAAGGCCAAAGGATGTAATTCAAATCTTCATTTACATTATCAGATTTGAAGATCTGAATTTTGCATTGGAACTGAGTTTGAATTATGTTCTGGAAGATTTGGAAGATTTAAATTGTTTAAGATTTCTCCTCATTAGGAATACTCAAATAATTTTAGTATGATCGTCAATACATGAGACAAACCATCTAGCCTCACTTTGGGTTTTCACATTTCAAGGCCTCCAAATATCATTGTGTTTAATGGAAAAACAATGTGAGGTTATATTAAGTTATGGAATAACAATTTCTCGTGCGTTTGGCAAGTTGACAATTCTCACAATGATAAAATTTAGGTTTTTTATTGAGAAATAATTGTGGATACAACTTAGTAACATGATTATAACTAGAATGACCTAGACGAAAATGCCATAAAATGACCTGTTTTTGACAAACATGAACTCAACATACTAAAAAATTTAAGGGACGGAAGACAATGGGATCAATTCTGTTTAGAGAGATTTTCCTCAAGTAGATATAAGTCTTTAATGCATTTCAACACCCCAAGAGTTTGCAAGGAATTTAGTTATACATCTTATAACATGAATATGTTTATTGATTAAAATCAAAATACAATTTAATTGTCAATTATGTAAGAAGATGAAAGACTAACATCTTGAGGGAACTCCACATCTC